AAGCGAAGCTGACGGCTTGAGCCTAATGGGTACCATAGTATCTCCAAATAAAATGCTACTCAATTGGGGTTGAACAACGGTGTCTGGGATTTATGACTTGGGGTGTGGGTATGAATGTTGAGGCGCAGCCGTTGTTGGAGGTCAGCTACTTTCAAAGTTCTTGTTCACTTGAAGCATTCCGAATCCGTGGAGGTGGCAAGACCCCTACGTAGACTTTGCTCCAAACATGCGTGCAAAGTACATACCCCTATCCACATATTATATATGTACACATAACAAGTGCGGGGTTACGATACTCACGAACATTTTTTCTACGGCCCGCCTTCATGAGCAAAGTGATGTCGCTAAGCAGCAGGAGCAGGACGACAAAGCCCGCAGGTATAGACGCATAGGTGAAGACGCCCCAGAAGGTGGTCATCCTCAACAATGGTTAGAATGCCGTCAGGCAGTAGTCACACTTGAGACCTCCTGCAAGTTCTTTACTCCAGAAAATTGACACTGCACACATGCAGCGCATACGCCGCTGTGTGGGCCTTCTGCGGGCGAAGCTATCAGCCTCCGGTCCAATCTAAGCGGATGTGCTGTACGCTCGGGCCAAAATGGCCGCGATCTAACTCCTATGGAGCCTGTTCGAAGCCAGGAGAAATCAAGCCAGTGTTTCAGGCGCGGGGGCCTGCATGCAGCACGGAAGCATCAAGAGCCCGGCGATGAGGTATCTCACCATCTGCAGCCCATGCTGTCGGCACCTAGTCCAATGCCAACATGCTCCTTTTCACCCAGACCTAGGGCAGTATGTACACAGCTCCGTGCTCTAGATTGGAAATTTGTCTGCAAATGTGAGGCCAGCGAGCTTGTTGATGATGTTTAATGACTTCACAATGATTCCAAGCCCATGCTTGAGGATGGATGTAGGTGCCTCAGTCAATTGCATCGTGTCCTGTGATACAAATAATTTGTGGCAGGTATGCTGGGGTCTGCTTTTGCCTTTCACATCCTCCAGATCCTGCCGATACGCATTTTCCTACGACGTCAAAAGCTGGCAACGAACAAAAAATTGCCTCGGCTCGTACAGGATGAGGATGTGTCATTGCCTCAGTCAAGAACTGAGTAGTTTCCATGTTCTGTTCGAATCCCCCTATATACATCTACAATCCGTATGTAGTACCTATGTAATCCCTGTAGAATCCCTACATTATCCCAATGCAATCCCTGCAAACAGAAAAGCTTGTAAAACCAGGGTGAAGCTGGGAGCCGAAGAAAGTACTGCTTTCAATGGCTTGAAAGCAATGTGATAGTTTCCATAAACAGGACCCCAATAAAGGCCCAATGAAAATCTAATCCTTAACACTTGGGACTCCCCAAATAGCAAAAGCGGCGCAGAGAAAGAAAAAGTAAAAGGTTGAAACCCAGAAGACTATCTGTCATCATCTGTGGCAACACGCCCGTTACTGAGCTTGGGACGTGGAAGGAGGTTCCGTTCTCATTTCCCACAGAAGCTGCCTGGACCGACATCATCATCCCTTATCTCTACCACGTGTCATGAAGGAAATCTTGCAGCCCTTCGCTCCTCCATAGACTTTCATTTGTAGGGTGTGAGAACACGTGGTGGTGCTGGGCTTCCTCCACTGGTTTCCGTATTGGGCTCGCCTGGGCTGTATAAGCAATTGCAAATACCTAGCACTTGAAGCTACATGACTGCAATTCCGGCGGAGGGACCTTCTGAAATAGGAGCAAGACTGGTGGCAGGGGATGGTTTTTCATGAGGGTTTTTCATGAAGGCTGTACTAAGAACCTATCTTGCACATATCCGACTTTCAGAAAAAATCCCTAGAAAACACTGACCTCAGAATGCTAGATCCGCATGGGCAGCTGGTGGTTGAAGCGGCTGAGGCCAAAGCAGTGGGCAACGAGACTATGATCTGAGAAGGAATTCTAAGCAGTGCCCTCTCTTCTCCACGGAACACCCTCCAGGCATACGACACAAAACTCTACCTTCGTGGCATTCTGGAATTCCATACTAATCTAGTTCCTTAGCTTCGGGGAAGACGTCATATCAGGAGGATGCAAATCTGCAATTCTTTCAACCACATAGCCTGTGGGCGCGCACATCAACCATCAGCAACGAATTCATGAACACCACCAGAAGCAACTGTGACTGCACTGAAGCTACGCGCGGACACAAACTGGGAAACAAATGCCTCGCAAAGACCGCCAAGAACAAGCCCTTACTACTGACATGCTACCCAGAATCTTTCTAGTATCCCGATGCGCAGCCCTGCAGGCAAAGCCATTGATGCTTTCTATATAACCCTAATATAAACCCAATATTACCCCAATGTAACCTCAATAAAAGCCCAATATAACCCCCATGTAACCCAATATAACCCCAACATAACCCCAATATTACCTCAACATAATTCCAGCAGGGGGCAGGATCAAGCTCCTTCTTCCAGTTCACGTCTAGCCGTCCAGCCTAAGAAGTTGCTCCAATTTACTCCGTTGGAGTGAAAATATTGGGATAATGGAAAAGAAAATGGAAACTACTATATTATAGTGTATCTTTATACATATATATTACGGTGTAGGGGTTATATTGGAGCTGTGGTGGCATAATGGAATTTAGTGGAAACTACTAGGGTCAAAGGCCCAAAGGCACCAGTATGGGTCTCTCTTGGGGATTATTATGTAGGGCCCTTGGGTTTCGAATGCAGGTCTGCCCAAACGCACACACACCCCATCAACACTCACGGATGTTTCGAAGTGACCCCATACACTCTCGAGACCTCTTCAGCAAAAAGGCTCCATATAATCCGCCTATTATAGCCCTGTTATGTTTCAGGGCCCCCTCCCCCTCACATTATCTGCTCCGCAGTCCTCTCCCTGACCTTCCCTAAGCGGGATGAGATTTGCACAGGGAGCTCGTGAACCTGGTGGAGGGGATGGTTCATCCCCATATGGTAGTTTACCAACAGAGGGGGACCCGAATATAGAGTTCAATATATTACAAACATTACAATCCTTCTTGTGGGGACCCCAAAAATGGTACCCCTATGTGTGGGATACCCCCGTAAACCCTAAACCCCATAGTCCCAGGCACAGAGGGTGAAACTGTTGGGGAAGGATAGTTCTTATGGCCGAGGAAGCGTAGAATCATAGAAGCAAGGGGTTATATAAGAGCAAATTGGGATAATGGAAAGCACAATGGAAGCTACTATGTCTGCTAATCTGCTAAGCCTTCCCCGTATCATTCGAGGTCATTAGCACCAGTCAGTCATAGGGTTATGTGAGGAGTATGTAGTGGTGATGGAATAGAAGATACCAGGTTCAGGGGCTGCGACAAAGAGCTCCAGGAATCGATGCGCACAAACCCTGATCCTTGACATGTGCATGCTTGCCATTTTCGAGGTAAACATCCATAATTACCATAATTCAGGCCCCTGGCAGCCTGCTGTTCCTGAGAAGAGGAACATTGACATGCTTCTAAAACCTGAACCCTATTCCATCAGCAAACCCTACCCCAAACCCAATTTCACACAGACCAGGATAGAAATCTGGGCCGCGGAACAGCAGAGGACACGCTCGTGCCGGGGCCTGCACATGTGACCAGAAGCAGCCCACTAGATAACTTCGGATGCTCGGGAGCCTCGCGTAATAATTCCACAGGAACCTGACAGATTCCCATATAATATTAATACGAATTATTCTATCATTACTATTACTGTTACCATTACTATTACTATTACTAGTACTATTGTTACTCATACTATTGCTACTATTACTTTAGTTACTTTTCTTGGTTCAATGCGCTGAGCATCCCATGGCTCAGACGGAGTCAACAGGCTGGGGCTGGCAAGTGGGTAGCTCCCAAACTTGGGGTCCCTTGTGGCACCCCTAAATATTAGGTGCCGTAATATAACCTATAACCAAAAGGGGGCCATAATTTTGGGAACAACCCCTATAATCATCCGATAATGGATCCTTAGTAGTCTAACCCGTAAGAGTAGTTTCCACTCTCTTTTCCTTTCGCCTAAACCCTAAACCCCTGTTGATCCTGCCTTCCCGGCTGGGCGTAGCTGAACTTGGCCGCGGCGGTGGCGGCGGCGCTGGGGGCGGTGGGGCTGGCGGGGCCTTGGCGCCATGTGAGCTGTAGTCTAAACTCCTTGAACAGGGATCTTTAGGGGATTATATGGGGGACTACTATGGGGTTACTAAGTTACTAACGGGGATACTGGGAGAAGATCATCCATCCAACTTCTGCAACACTGGGTGCAAGATGCCACCGGAGTGGCATCTTATAATATATAATATAATATACTATAGAATAGTATATGATATCATATTATATATTCTAATGTATTATATAGTATATTACATAGTATACTAGAATTCCTTTTTTTGTCTATGTAATATAGGCAAAATCGAGTTACTGACGGGCGCCCTCTTCCGCAAAATGCCCTGCAGGCTCGAGGCCTGGTGCAGCAGTCAAATGGGGGCTTCCCAAACTTTTGGGAAACCCTTCTGGGGGTTACCCAAAATTATGGGCACCTTTAAAGGGGTTATATGGGAAATATTAGGGGGATATAGGGTTTGGGGTGTAGGGATTAGGGTTGGGTGTCTCCATAATAAGGATTCTAGTAATTCGGGTGTCTATATTAGGGTTCTTCTATTTAGGGAGACTACCAAATGCCAGCCAGCTGGCAGCAAAGCAAACCAGAATCATTGCAGCACACCTCCGCAAAATCTGACGTTACACCCTACCTTTCCCTTCTTGCTGCCACGATTCCTGAAAACACTAAACCCTAAACCCTAAACCTATCCTTTCTTTCTAGCCTGAAGCTGGAACCCCTCTTGCCTCGGGGGCGCCGCCTCCAAGCATGAGGTTGTGGCGGTCCGCGCCGCTAGGCTTCTCCTGATGCCAAGCACAAACAATGTGTGCATGCTCTCTCACGCCTGACTGCGGGAGCAATAACTGTTGTAGACGATGCCACTGGACGTTCTCGACTCCAAATTCGGATATCCGAGGCCCCGACAAGTCGTGACCTGTCGTGGCTCTCCTCGTGCACAGGCAACCAAAAATCAGGCATCTACAGCTGGCCCAGCTTGCGTCCTGGTCCAGCCAGACAAGCCGTCGTGGCCTCAAATAAGTGGATTGGGGTATAAAAATGGCATGACAGAAATGCTGAAGCTGTACGCCTCAAGAACTGCTAAACGATCAGAAGGTTTCATCCCTTGAGGTCAGGACAGCCCTCTGTCAGGTCCAGAGTGAAACTCCGCAAGAGGCCCCATCCTTAGTACTGCAGGCCGAACAGCTTCACGGTTAGGCCAAGTGGGCAGCACTGGTGCTGCAAATCGCACGAAATACTGAGAGCCTTGCTGGCCATTTATGTATGTATTTCGGAGGAGCAGGTCCTGTCATGA